AGAAGTCATTCTTCCGCTCTACTCTGCGCTGGTTAGGCCTCAATTTGAGTATTGTGTTCAGTTCTGGGCACCGCATTTCAAGAAAGATGTGGGGAAATTGGAGAGGATCCAGAGAAGAGCAACAAGAATGATCAAAGGTCTAGAGAACATGACCTATGAGGGAGGGCTGAAGGAATTAGGTTTGTTTAGTTTAGAAAAGAGAAGATTGAGAGGGGACATGATAGCAGTTTTCAGATATCTAAAAGTGTGTCATAAGGAGGAGGGAGAAAACTTGTTCATCTTGGCCTCTGGGGATAGAACAAGAAGCAATGGGCTTAAACTGCAGCAAGGGAGGTTTAGGTTGGACATTAGGTAAAAGTTCCTAACTGTCAGGGTAGTCAAACACTGGAATAAATTGCCCAGGGAGGTTGTGGAATCTCCATCTTTGGAGATATTTAAGAGTAGGTTAGATAAATGTCTGTCAGGGATGGTTTAGACAGTATTTGGTCCTGCCATGAGGGCAGGGGACTGTACTCGATGACCTCTTGAGGTCCTTTCCAGTCCTAGTATTTTATGATTCAATGATCTGTAAAGAACAACTCATGTCAAACCAATCCGATAGTTTCTTTGATAAGGGGAAAACAGTGGACGTGTTATACCTAGACTTCAGTAAAGCATTTGATATGATCTTGCATAACCTTCTTATCAATAAACTAGGGAAATACAATCTAGATGGTGCTATTATAAGGTGGGTGCATAACTCGCTGGTTCACAGTCATGCTAGACGGGCATAACAAATGGGGTTCTTCAGGGGTCTGTTTCGGGACCAGTTCTGTTTAATATCTTCATCAATGATTTAGATATAGGCATAGAGAGCACACTTACTAAGTTTGCAGATGATATAAGAACTAGGGATGTAAGTGACTAGTCACTATTCCCCCCACTGTTTTTGTCAGAGAGAGGCAGCAAGTGGGGGGAGCAGGATCAAGTGCTGGGGGGAGAAATGGCAGGGGGATGCAGTGGGGATCTGGCGGTGCATCTGACTTTGAAATGGAGTGTGAGCAGGCTCTTGCTACATTTCAAAAATGGAAGTGCTGCAGAGAGCCTGGGGCAAGCTGGGGACTCAAACAGTCTCCCACTGGCCCTTCACTTCCAGCACTTTGTTTTTAAAATGTACAATAGCCAGAGGAGGGCTCATGTACATTTCAGAAACAAAGCACCACTGAGTATGTCAGGGCACCACAGGTTGACAACTGTGAGCTGCTTGAAGAAAAACTTGTGTGTGTTTGTTTTAAACCTGCTACCTATTTCAATTGGTGACCCCTAGTTCTTATATTATTATCAAGCTGGCAGGGGTTGTAAGTATTTTGGAGGATAGGGTCATAATTCAAAATTATCTGGACAAACTGGAGAAATGGTCTGAGTTAAATAGGATGAAGTTTAATGCAAAGTACTCTACTTAAGAAGAAACATTCAGTTTCACACATACAGAATGGGAAACAACTGTCTAGGAAGCAGTACTGCAGAAAGGGATCCAGGGGCCAGAGTGGACCACAAGCTAAATATGAGTCAACAGTGTGACGCTTTTGCAAAAAAAAGCAAACATGATTCTGGGATTCATTGACGGGTATTGTGAGGAAGACACGAGAAGTCATTCAGCTCTACTCTGTGCTGATTAGGCCTCAGATAGAGAATTGTGTCCAGTTCTGGGTAACACATTTCAAGAAAGATTTGGAGACGTTGGAGAAGGTTCAGAGAAGAGCAACAAAAATGATTAATTGTCCAGAAAACATGACCTGTGATGGAAGACTGAAAGAATTGGGCTTGTTTAGTTTAGAAAAGAGAAGACTGAGAGGAGCCATCATAGCATATTTCAAGTACCTATAGGGGTGTTATAAGGAGGTGAGAGAAAAATTGTTCTGCTTGACCTCTGATAGGAGAAAAAGCAATGGTCTTAAACTGCAGCAAGGGAGGTTTAGGTTGGACATTAGGAAAAACTCCCTAACTGCCACGGTGGTTAAACACTGGAATAAATTGCGGAATAGGTTGTGGAATCTCTATCACTATCACTGGTGACATTTAAGAGCATGTTAGGTAGGCGTCTATCAGGATTGGTCCTGCCTTGGGCAGGGGCCTGGACTTGATGACCTCTTGAGGTTCCTTCCAGTTCTAGGATTCTATGATTCTATAAGAACAGCAAGATACTCAAGTATTTTTCTTTTTATAGTTTATACCTATTGAAAATACAGATGTCTGTGCTGAGTGAAATTGGACCAATTTTCTTTTATATCATCCAAACTCCAAATAGTGTGTTCTCTTCATCCCATCTGAGAGAGAGAATTTTTTCAGCTTTAAATCCCCTAATGTATTCAGTGGGTTCTGATTTTTTTTAAAGGTGGAGCCTAATATCAAATGTCAAACCAATCCATCAGAGACACCTGTGTCTTCGGCACAGATAGGATTCCTTATTTCAGATGTGGGACCTCTGAGCAAATCTGCCAAAGACACTGCCTCATCCATACAAGCCAAGTGCAGAGAGAGAAGAAGCAGTTCACAGAAGGGCAAGTCTCCTGGTAAGAACTGGGTCCATAACTTTTCCAGGGTTTACCAAGACTGTGTAGCTGAGCTGTGTAGCTGAGACAAAAAGAATGATGAACAGCTTGGATTATGCTAGGGATGTTAAAATGTGTTTATTTTCAGTGGTTACACATTTACATGCGGGGGAC